GACTCGACAAATTGAAAGTCTATAAGCTATAAACGAAAAATATTTAACTTATATGACGTAACAACATTTTTAAGTAATTGTTATAAATTGTAAAAAACATTTCCATAAATTGATAACTACTTTATTATTTATCATTATTTTTATCATGTTTTTATACATAATGGGTGCTGTTTATTTAGTGATACAGCGCATCATTTCATCTTTATTTCAGACAGTAACAAAGATAGAACGACACTTGTATTGACTTGTGTCACTAAATGTGCACCCATAGTTTTATATTTATTTAGACATGTGAATAAATCAATATCAATCTTTCATATTCATGTCTATTTTTTATAGTGCATATACTTTAATATTAAACGTATATAAAAACAAGAAAAATAAATATTAATTAAAACATACGAAACTTTTTATAAATATAGATATACATAATCTATTAGTCTCTTATATATTTAAATAAATTTATACATATTTATATCTAAATAAATTTAGACATAAATTATAGATCTAACATTTAAACATATCAGATAGTAGACATGAAATATCTGTAAATAGAATTTTCTATTATAAGTATACCAATGTTGTTTAATATACTATTTAATTATTTGATACTTGATAAATAAATGAGAATGTATAGAAATATATATGTATGTATACATGTTTGTGTGTGTGTATTTATATAATGAAATCAGTACATAAATTTAATCATAGAATATTAATTTAATTTCTACTTCAAACTGTGCTATCTCTCCTTTTGTGTTAAATAAGCACTGACGTTAACGAGCGTGACGACGCGCAATAAACGGCATCGTTAATTTCGAAAGACGGACTTCGTCGGACATCTGTATCACCATAAGTATTTCTTCATTAAGATATTGCATAATTAAACAAAGTTTAAGTAAAAAGATATACGCCCAAGTGTTACGATTCTCTCCTGCTCTCTCTGTTCTTAGTCGCTTTGTATTTAATAAAAGAATATTCTTACCGGAACACTTCGTCCTCCTTTTTTATCGAGATTAAAGTATGCCTACGTATACTTTACACACGTAAAATGAAAAGGACTCTTCTAAAACTTCTGAAACTCCTTGAACTCTGAGAGACAAAAAGGAGAAAGAGGTAGGGAGGGAGAAGTGAGATTAAACAAAAAGCTCTCGAAAACACGGTACAAGTGAGCAGCAAAACAACGAAATAACCATCCTGCTATTTAAATTTAACTTTATTTGCGCTTATGAAAAAAGTTGCGCCGATAAAAGAACTATTTTTAATCCTCAAGTTGTACTATAATATAATACAAAAGTAAACCATTTTATGTACTTTTCCAATATTCAAGTTAGTAATTTTTTTTTGACGATAAATGATTTCTTTCTATGACAAAACTTGTTTTTTTAAATGCAAAATCTCGGAAACTGATGAAAGATAAACAAAATAGTTGATTCACTAACTAGATGCTTTTCGAAAGAATTAATCGCGTTAAATATAATATGTATGTGTGTGTGACTCTACAGCTATATGGAACTGCTACAGAAAATTCGCTTCATCTAATTGTAAAATACCTGTTAAAGAAAAATCTCGGATGGTCTAATACAAAAACCATATCGCATCAGTAATGCTTCTTCCACCCCAAATGTTCTCTCTATCATTTTTCTGCTCTTTTCCTCAAAGAGAGCATTTACACGAAATTGAAATGAGATTGAAGCAGGGCGGTTTAAAGATTTTCATCTCGCACGTTTCACACATCGACGCGACGCACCGGTTTCGTGATTGGAGCCGGTACAAAAATTCTCATCGAGTATTCACGCGCGCGCGCGGACTTATTTTCGCCGTCGCTTCCAGCTTGGCGTGTAATATGAAACGATAAGTTACCTGACGTCGCCGCGCTGCACGCGGCAAAACCTTCCTCAAGCCGGTAAAGATTAAACTGGAAGAAAAGAGGAAACGTATACGGCGTGGCGATTCCATGGCATATGGGAGAGGCGCGTACGTCAGTTTGTACGAAGATACGAGGAGCAGTTGCCGGGTGTTGCGCTCACACAGATATTGATCGCTCGGGTCACGCAACAGGCTGCTTGTCAGGACACCACTCGTCAGGTTGTGCTCCAAGGTATATAGCAGCCCGCCTGAAGGACCCTTCGCGCAACCCGCGGAGTCGAGACGCCGCAATAATTTATAAGACGAAGCCGTCGCGTATCGCGCGTGGCAATCGAACGAGCGAACGACCGTGACTCGGCCGATTTCCGCTCGGATTTGCGGACTGGACGCGCGTTGTCGATCGCGTGCCATTGGTCTGGCAGATATTTAACCACGTCCGTCCTGGTAAATCACCGAGTAAGCCTTCTATAAAAAAGTATCGATCCTTTTTTCATGTTCTAATTTGAGAGACAAACTCAAGTTTGCGTCGAAGGAAGGGAAGAGCGTGTTGTATTTTTAAAACGTATGAGAACATAACTCTCACGACGATGAATAAATCAGTTTTATTAATTACGAAATTTGAATAACCGATAAATTTACGTAGTACACATAGATCGTGTACATGGAAACTTTAATTTGATTTATTTTTAATCTGAAGAATTGAAGAGACTCTAGAGAAAAGAAATGTGCGCTTATAGTAATTATAATTAAGTTGAATATAACTTAACAAATAAAACAATTGATGTATCACGATCTTAAACAAAAACTATTGCGCTTAATCGATATATGGCTGGGCTACATGCAATAATCTACACAGATTATTACGTTAATAATGTTCGGATTATATATATATATATATATATATAAAAAGAAACCGCTCTTTACTTTGAAGCCATGCCGTTTTGCATGATCGAACTCGCGTTTTCAGCAAAGGAACGTTAAGCAATCTCTTTCGCGAAACCAATCAGCTTCGATTCTTACCTCATTTCTGCTTGGCACATCGCACAAGAATAAGTACACTTTTCCATTCATTTATTTCTCTTTTCTCTCCACCTTCAGTAGCGGTCAACCGTATACAAAATGTATCCGATCCACGAACTACATTTAAGTTAGATGCAGTGCGACAACATCTATAATGCATTATTAGGCCTAGTTTCACATATACATGCCTAATTCTTAACCAGGATTCAATAACTTATTTCTCATCTAAAATTCTAAAATTAGAAAGAGATAAGAAATAAGTTAAACCTCGGTTAAGAGTTAATCATCCCAGGTACACAAGTCGATTAAAAATTGATTGATCTTTAGGACTGTTTGATTACTCTACTAGATGTTCTATTGATCTTCGAAAGAAGATCGACATTTTGTTGATGCAGCGTTGATAAAACATCGATCTTCTTGATGCAATGTTGATAAAATGTTGATGTTTTTCGAAGATCGATAAAAAATTTAATCGGTATCAAATCAAACAGTTCTGAAAAATCAGTCAGAAAAATATTGATTTGATTTCGACTTATAAATCAGGGATGAGTTATGAAACTGAGGACTTTTAGGGCTCATCTTTCATCAACTTCTAATTAAATTAATCGATGATTACATACACACAACTCTTAGAAATACCAACAGCAATATAATAAAATAATGTATCAGAATATAATCTCCTTTCTGTTTCTATTCCAAACTGTATTTAGTTCTCACTTTTGGCAATCATAATAATTGAGGATCGATTAGCGTTAATGAGAATTGGTGAAAGAGGCTCTTAAGGACTGGTTATTTAATCGGTTTATTGACTGTCACCAGAAATACCTGAGCTAAACTTTAATGGCTCGATCCTGTACGGCTGCACATCACATGCGAAAACAGATTTGTTATCGAGAAATTTAGATTAGAGATGATAAGTTATATTTTCAATTTAGCTGCAATGACAATTATAAAATTTAATCGGCTGTTTTCTAAAAATTTTTAGAAAAGTGTCGTGCTGACTTATAGTTTTATCGACTGATATAAATAATTCTCGAAGAGTTTTATATACTCTACAATCATTTTAAACGGAATTCCGATTGCCACGTATTTTTTATCAATTATTTAATATCTAGACTTATTACGATCCTTTTAGGAAAAATTTAATTAAAAATGAAACGCATAAAATGGAAGTTATCATTGGCCAAGAGTCGGTACAAAATTTTAAAAAATTGTTTTTTTATTAAAATTGAAAAAGTACCTATAACAATGTATTTGTGTAAATATTTTTTTATTGAAAATAAAAGAAACTCTCAGATACACATATACATCCTATCGGGCGGAATGCGAATATTCCTGCTGATGTTTCTAGTGCATCCATCTAACGGTACATAATACAACTAAATTTCGTTTACCATACTTTCCAATGGTATACTTAATTAAAAGGATGCCGCTTATATTACCGATAAATCTAGCGTTTTTGACGTTTTCGTTTCTTCCAATTTTTTCGTAATAGATTCACAGAATAAAAATTCCTTTTCCAAAATTAAAATATACACGCTCACAATATATTGAGCGCTGATGTATTTTGTGTCCAAAACTGAAAAAAATGAAAAATTACCAATTTCTTTATTCAATTTTGCCTTCAGCGTTTATCGTCATAGTGAGGTAAATAAATTATTAACATGCATGTGTATATTTTAATCATGGAAAAGTAATTTTTATTCTGTGAAAGCATTACGAAGAAATTGGACAAAGCCGATTCAACGTATCTTCTTACAAATTCTTTCATATCTTACAGAAATGCGAATGAGCCTAATTTCATCAAAATCGGAGTCGGATATTCTAAATAATTACCCGTGAATTTAATAATTATAATGTATTATATAAAAATTATATATATATATACATATATATTTACGTTGTAACCGCAAATTTATATCATTTGTCGATAATGTCACCGTTCTTCAACTCCCTGAAGTCCTATATTGATAGTCACGAAATTTGTCCAAAGTCGGCCGTCTTTAATATAGCATCTCATCGGCAACAATATGGAGCAATATATATATATGTGCAATACGTGTCACCGCCGGTGCTTGTAACGCATGTATACGTGAGAAATTTTCGAATATTTCGTTCTTGTAATATTTTGTCTCAAGATCGACAAAAAATATGACGGCGTTGAAAGTGTTGGTCAAATTTTGGTCAGAATACACCAAAAATACACCCAAGAAACTGAAAATTATCGATGCGTACTTATTGTACGTATTTCTGACGGGTGTTATCCAATTCGTGTATTGTTGCCTCGTCGGCACTTTTCCCTTCAATAGTTTTCTCAGTGGTTTCATATCCTGTGTATCCTGTTTCATTCTAGGCGGTAATTATATTTGTCCTCGTTATACGTTTTTCCTTTTGTATAAAACTTATATGCACATATACAAACATAATCTACAGATGTATATGTACTTGAGCTGTGCTCCAAAATTTAGTACCAGTACTAAACATTTATAATTTACATTACATACGTTTTTCAATACTGATAGTAAATTTTGGGACGCAGCCTTGGACTCGTCTTTTTTTACATTGTATAATTGTTCATACAAATTTCTGTATACCAATCTAGTATTTTATCTTATATTCGAAACGATTATACTATAAAACTGTTATCTTTCTTCGTTTATTTGCACAGGTAATTGATGATTTTACATCTTTTTCAGTTTGTCTCCGATTGCAAGTAAATCCACAAAATAGAAGTCAATTTCATGGTATAAGCCCTGAAAGAGGATTTGCAGACTTCATTTTTGCGCATATTATTTTACATATTGTTATAATGAATTTCATTGGATAAAATACGCAGTTGTAATATACATATATAATAGATCAGCAGCATCATGTTCAAAAATAAATTGGATTTAATATATAAGTATATATCATGTTTTTCTACTGTTACTCTTTAATTTTCATTTGAATATATCTTATAATTAATTAATAAAATTAGGAAAATAATCTTTTTTTCTCACTTCTCTCTCTTTTGTTCTCCCTTCTTTTAATATACCTAGGACTAATAATCCTAAAATTTCAATTTTCTAATGGTAAGGAATCTAAATTAATTTTTTATTTGCCAAATTAAATGACTTGTCTGAATTTTGAACATCTCCTTTTACTCTATAATAAAAATAATAATACAATTACTTATTGTGCAAAAATACTTCACACAGCATTAAATTACTCGGAAATATCTGTATCGACAGAAAATTATTTATGTGACTCACTACATTTATGTACAATATACATTGTAAGAACATTTAATCGTGGAAAATAAGTAAGCAATATAACTACAACAATCTATAATACATTTTATTTGTCTTACTAGTTGTACACAAGTGTAGAATAGATATTACATTGCTATAGATGAATAAAAGAAACTTAGGACACCCCATGCCCGTATTTATACAGATCCTAAGAAAAGGTCATTATAAAGTTACATCTTCGAGGGACTCAGGAAAGCATTATTAGACTATTCTTTAACTCGCCAAACTTTAGCCAGATATTACATATTTCTCAAAACAATATAATTTAATAAAGCTCTTTCATTTATATGAAAATATTGATATATTTTCATACATATATTTTATTTACACATACTTAGAGGCAATTAACAATAATAATGAAGTTTTTAATTACTTGAGAAATTTAATGTAAATTATCTGCCTATGAAATATAATAACTTAAACGTTTTGAAAACAAAACTATTACACTATTATTAATGATAACTACAATAGAAACAGTGAATTTTTTATACGCCATATAATTACAGTTGACTTAAATAAAAATTGCTTTATGTTTCATTACTTATTATCTATTTATATGCAACTTAGAGATCCACAAAATATATATAAATGATTCGATGTAAATAAAACTACTTACAAAGATTTTAATACAACGATGTATGCATCATTCATAAAATAAGTTTTTCTCGTCTCTTTTAGATGCAGACACATTTCCACAAATCTATCTCTTAATAAATAATGTATCGTATGTAGTACAGGCTGCCATGACTAACATAAATATTTTAATAACAGATATATTTATATCCTATATATATATTTGTCAGGATTTCATTATAAATATGGAATTAATTTTTTCTTCAGCGATAACATCGCGAGGATATTTCTACAAATATCCGAATTACGAATCATTACGAAGAAATTTTTTACAATTTTTGAACGATTTACTCTGCAGGACAAATAAATATACAATTATATTCTCCAATTAATTTCCGAATAGATTCTGATAGATTTCCGATAATTTTAATTTAAAATTTTATCTACATATATTATAAAGTATACGAATCAAAAAATTAAAGAAAAAAATTCGATTCAAAATTCAGTCAAAGAATCTGTTATTATATTTACAGTCACGAGTTGTGGCACATCCTGTTTGTATTTGATATCTTATCAATATATACGGATACATATGTTTTCTTTTAATGTATATTTTATTATATATTATTTATGTGTAAATACAAGTATTCATGTCAAACTTTATCATACAATTAAACTTAAAAAAAACCGAAGAACTGTGAATTTTATTATTTTACAGAAGTTAAATATGCAAATTGCATTGTTATGAAAATAAATAGTAAATCATACGATATAAAATTTTTTTATTAAACTAGAAGGAATATCTATTATTATTAGGAATATATATATATATATTTAAATAGAATAAAATATTAAAATTTACTTATCATTAAAGGGCTCGGAAGTTTGTGAAGTCTTACAATGAACTGTCTTTCATTACGATGCAAGTACAAAGTCTGTGACAATAGATCTTATTCATATTAAACATTTATATTATATGTAATTATATATTGTTTTTAGTAATGGAAATAGACGTTACTTGTAACGCCGTTAATTTGTATGTTATTTTATTATAATAACGATTTGATAATGACGTCGCGAAATTTTTATGGCGGTAACAGTAAGGCCAGATTGGAAAAGTCAATTGTTATTTGTAACAAGTATATCCAAATCAAATACAACAAGAAACAGTTCTACATCAAAACTTGTAAACTTCCGAACTCTTGCTCATTACATACGAAATGAAGTTATGTACAAAATTTACAACTGGTTACTCTAATTTTCGTCTTTGTGCAAACAATGTAAATTATAAAACGCAACAAACGTCTCCTTGACGTTATGTAAAACGTAAACGCATCTGTGTTGCTTGAAATATTTAATATATAAATTAGAAAATCCTTTTTTTTTTTTATTAGATAATGATGACAAGGAACGTATCTCAACTTATTTACAGGCACGAACATAACATGACTGATTGTATCTTCAAATCAAGAATTTTGCATTTTATATTCTTTTTTCTGGATTAATCACCGATCATTGCGTGCATGTTGCTAGTCAATAAATATATTTTATGCAAACATGTCCCCAATGTACAGAATATCTTTGTATAACTGACATTTCCTTTATCTCGTAAATTAACAGACTTAATAAATACAATATCAAATTATACGTTTCTATCTAAACTCTATTGCAAACATAGTAATCACTTAGAAAAATTATCCATATTCAAGAACGGAGAGATATGCGTTATTTTCGCAAGTAAATAATATAATAAAATTGTAGCGTTTATTCTGACAAGCACAACGATGTGTGTATGATATATAACATTACTTTACAAATTAAGTTGTAAGTGATTTCGATTAAAATTTTGCGATCAACTAATAATTTTTCAATTTCGGCTCTGCAATATAGCTAACTTTCGACTCTCGCATTGACAATTAATGTATTAAATATTGTCATTTGATCAATTAAAAAGTCAGAAGTTTAACACACCGCACGGCCGAAATTAAAAAGATATTAGTTACTCATTAAACTAAAATAACTTGTACAATTTGTAAAATAATTTTGTTATATAACGTCAGAACAAGCTACAACCTTTATTATATTAACCTTTTATAATATCGTATTATTTTACTTGTAAAAATTATGTATATCCCTACGTTTTCTAACAAACCGTTTATCTAAGTAATCATCACTGTGCTTGCAATATAGTTCAGTTAGAATTGTTTAATTTGATATTATACTTATTATTAGGTCTATCCCTGGTAATTTACGAGATAAAAAGGAGTGACCACACTTATACAATATCCTGTATATATTATATACCACGAAAATTTCGGTTATTCGGGAATTATGCATAATGCTCGGCCACTATGCACAATGCCCAAATTAATCAAATTTTCCATGCATTTTTTCCTTTTAAAAACAATTAGTAAAGCTTTAATGAGCACAACTGAATCCATGCTCATTGAATTGGCACGTGTCACTTCAATTTATTTATGGCACTAAATACATTCATTACAGTAACATTTAATGTACCTATATTTATAACCAAAATACCCCCCCCCCTCTCTCTCTCTCTCTCTCTCTCTCTCTCTCTCTCTCTCTCTCTCTCACTCTCTAATCTATAAGTTTATAAAGATTGTTTTACAAATTATGCAAAAAATATAAAAAAAAAAAGGAAAAAGCTTTAAATCAAAAATTTTAATTCATTAGAAAGTGGATAACAATGCAGTTTAACATCTTTTTGAAAAATTTAATAAGATTATTCTAACAATTTTTCTTTTAAAACGCGTGTGTATTACATGTCGCTACAAATATTTACCATTAGCATATCTAAATTACGTAAAAATCTTAACTCCTTCTGTTACAATTTAATCGTCATTGTAGCTTTCATTATAATTTGATGGCATTGAGTAATTAGTTTAATACTAATCAGGGTTGACAAAAGCTAATACGCTTTAAATCGTACTATTAAAAAAAAATATATTTAAAACATTAAAAACATCGATTAAGCATGTTTTAAACTGTTTAAAACATGTTTAAACATGTTTTTTACTAACTGATACTAAACGTTTATGAGTATATTCATTCACAACCTCTCAATATTTTTAAATGTCACATCTAATCTCTTGATTGCAATTTTAATTTGTTTTTAGAAGGTAAAGTACTAGTTATTAAATACACAAAGAGGTCTTTCGATAGCTCTTGTTATTTAATATTTAATAATTAATTGCATCAGCAAAAAGTATGCACCGCGTTGTATGTTCCACAATCTTGTCTCAACAAAAAAAAAAGGAAAAATAAAATGTACAACTTGTCAATTTTGTATCAACTACGAAGCTCTTGTGTGTGTGTGTGTGTGTGTGTGTGTGTGTGTGTGTGTGTGTGTGTGTGTGTGTGTGTGTGTGTGTTGAATAATTTGAATTCAAAATCATATTAATCGATTTCTGCTTATATCTACGAAATAGTATCTTCAGTATTTTCAATATTCGTTATCTGTGTATTTGTCGAATCAATCTCGGATTTCCGATGTTTTTCCAAATACCTTCTCCGTGCTGTTAATCGCATATGCTCTTTTCGTCGTTGAAGTATAAGTTCTCTCTCGGCAGATGATTTCGAGAAACGACCACCAAGACTTGAAGGTTCTTCTCCACTATAAAGATAATAATATATTCACATAGATTACTTCATGAGAAATAAAACATCCTAGAATAACTAGACTATGAGCAATACAACAAAACATGTTCATCTCGATTTACGATTTCAAATGTTTAATAGATTGATTTCATATATTTCTTAATATACAGTAACTAATAAATACAGATAATAGATAATATTAAAGATATGACTTAATATATTTATATTCTTCATATACATCAGATCTTTCTTACCTATCGGCAAAAGGAATATCGAATCTAGGATCCGATGAATTTTGGATCGAAGAGCTGGGCGTAATGTCTGTCACGATCGTTTCCATTTGTGGGACGGATTCTTCATGCGGTTCTTCGATTACATGGTGTGGTAAAGTTAATATCCCATCGAGTATATTTTCAATTGTCCATTCAACCGATCGAGTCATTCTAAGGTCTTCTAGGATTATATTATGAGGATAATGGGGAAAAAGTAGTAGTACCTAATAAATATATTTGTTAGAATAAAATTGTTTCTTTTGCAAGATCTATAAAAAATTTAAAATCAGTTTACATTTTTTATATATATACGTGATAAAATCCACACGCGCGCATATTATAGATATATATGTATATATTACCTGTCTCGCCATTGCGTCCATCTGGGAATTAGTATGTGCAAATGTAGATATGTTACCACGTACTCTATTGTGCGAGACCTCGACAGAAAAAGTAGGCAACCAAGATACGTATCTCGATGCATCGAGAAAGAGGAAATAATAATTGCTATTTCTTCTCGTAGGAGTCTGTGGCTCAGGTGGTATCTCTAGAATGTTCTCTCTATGATTCGCTTGCATACTCAAAGCCAATCGACAAGTGGGACATGATGTGTCCTGTTCTAACCAAGATTGTAAGCACGAGTTGTGAAACAAGTGCGCACAGGGTAATTTACGAGCGTTTTCCATCTTCTCCCAACATATGGCGCAGTTATCAGAGTTCTCGACTAATTCATCTTGCGAAGCCATTGGATAACTAAAAATGTTGAAACAGTTATTTATCTCAAAAATATTATTGATTATTTATAATTTAATGCGATTATGAAGGAATTTATAAACTATTATATATTTTTAAAAATAGAAAATAAAATGCGAACTTGCAACAACATAAAATATTATATGTCCATTATTATTACAATTCATTATTTTCATAAAAAATAAAAGCTTAAGAGAAATTATAATTAATATTCGAATTGCCGATGATATTCGAAATTTTCATTAAAGTATACGTGTGTGTGAGAATAAGTGAGAGAGAAAAATTCCCGAAATAAGATGCAAATATTATATATAACATTTTGTCTATGGACTTTTACGCTATAAAGTACTTAATATTTTATAAAAAATTAAAAAAAATACATAAGACACAGTAAAATCAAAATATTAAAACAATTGCATCTAATTATAGCATAAATGTACATTACGTACGTCTGCTCCATATGATTTAGTACAGCCAAATAGTTTCTATGTTTTGTAATTCTCCGTTGTATTTCATAGAACAGGTATCTCAATTGCATACATATTACTAGCGATGCCATGCTCAAAAAGATGTTACTCCACAAAAGCATGTGAACATGATGACAAAAGTCGACTGCCAGCCCAATTAATTCCGCAATCAAATCTGTATAGTAAGTCAATGGACCACGTTTATCCCAAGAGCGTTGTGCCGAAGTGCCGGCGCCACGAGTATCATACAGATGAATCAAGTAGCGTAACATCACGTGAATCGTACGGACTCCAAGTAGAATATACTACAAAACAAATAATTATTATAAGATAAAGTCATTATATTTTAGATAATGTAATAATAAATTTGATATTTTCTCGATTTTTATTCAAAAAGTGAACTCACAACTACTTAAACTAACAAAGAATTTGAACAATTCACGGAAATACACACACATGTGCACGCACACGGAAAATAAAAATTCTCAGACAAAAATTTTAAAAGAATCAACAAATTTAAATATCAGTTTTATTGATATCAATTTCATAGTTTCTTTCTGTTTACAATGATTAGAGCTATCATAATGCTTCTCTTCCGAAAAAAGCGATTCCGAAAGAGTAGTATTATACAATAGTAGCTTCTAATCATGGTACTATTCATTCTGTTGAGTATATCAAGAGTAAAGGAACTATGTAAAGACCTTGTCTAAGACATTTTTGGACATATTGTTTGTGTGCGTGATACTCAAAATTGAATAGTTTGTAAGTAAATAACGATCACAAAATTGATGTCGATAAATAACTAATGCATTGTTACATTGCTTACCTCAGCTGCCATAAAAGCAAAAGTATTGAAAGATATGAAAAAGAAAACTGCAGCGATGCTGAATAAAAGCATGAAGGAAGATAGCACAAGAATTGCCGCCAACAATACGAGAAGTCGAGCGTGACTCCATCCTGGCGTGGTGGGTGAAAAGGATAGCTAAAATAAAAAATATTATAATTATATTTCTTGAGACATATAATAATACTTGGTCAAAATCGTTGATCATTAAATATGACAAGAAAACATTCTAGAATCAAATGTGCTTTTATTTTAAATTAATATACGTCTGTATAGCGTGCAAAATCATACGAAAATATTTCTATTATATTTTCAAGACTAATTGCCTCCTTTTGGCATATCTTATACTCACATATTCAAATCGATCTTTGCAAAGTTGGCTAAGAAGACTCAGGAAGCCAAGCGCCATAAACCATGCCCACCAGAGTATAACTTCGTCCATGTATTGTACATTCAAAACTCCAAAAACAAAGATAAACTTGTAGAAAAGGAAATTCCAGAACTTGTCTTTCAAATGATGATTCTCTGAGGCACGTAATTCACCAAATACAAGTTTTTGGATAGTTTTGCCAAGAAGAATCAACATGCAGTAAGCCATGTTGACTAAAGTCTGTAGATTATAAAAAAGAAATTGTAAGGATATATAATAAAGTAATATATTAGAGAAATTTATTAATCTAGAGAAAAAAATCAGAAAGTTCAAAATAAAATAATGTAGCGTCACTCAGTTTTTGAACATGGCCGGAGACACTACCGCTTATATATATATATACATATATGTATGTGTGTGTGTATGAATATATATATATACTTATATATAAATGAGGCATTCTACGTCAAACTGGACACCTTCAAAACATCGATATTTTTAATTTTTTTTAATTTGTTGACAATTTTACAGATAAAAATATAAGACACGTTTCGCGAAAAAAATTGAAATTTTTTTTGTGAAGTTATTTACGCTTGTAAGTTGCAAAAATTCATAAAAAAAACGTCGCTTATACGAAGGTTTCACATTACTACCACATAACAAAATTTTTTAATTATACGGACCATTTGAGTTCCATTTTGAAATTTTCAGAGTTACTTCATAATTAAAGTAGGAATACGATGATACTTTTACAAAATTTTTTAACTGGTGAATTAATGATGAAAAATGTTAATAAAAATTGTAAACAAATGGAAAATGATTTATTTTTATACAAAAATGATAAATTAAAAATAACCCATTTATAGAACAAGATCTTTAAAGTCAGTCTCTTGCGTTTTTTTGTTCGATTAATGGTTTTCGATGATATAATAATTTAAATATTCGCAACGTTTTTAATGAATTTCTATAATTTATAAGCGTGAATAATTACACAAAGAAATCTCTATTTTTTTCGCAAAACACATCTCATATTTTTATTTATAGAATATATCAACAAATTTAAAACAAAAAAATATATGATAATATTTTAAAGATGCCCGGTTTTATATATGTGATTTTTTTCTTTTCTTCGTTAAAATCTTATACATATCATTAAATAAAAAATATGACATAGTTTTAAATATGCATATAGCTAAAATTTTTTAAAAGATAAAAATTTATTAATTTTAGAGGAAATAAAAATGTATTAATTAAAATATAAATTATAAATCTGATTCAATATATTCTTTTTTAACACTGATAAATTAAACTAAATTTTTATATTAAAAAAAAAAACAATTATATATTTCGAATTGTCCAATTTATTAATTTTTTTATATCTTGTATCAAAAATAATAGAAATAAATGTTTTCTGACACGCGCGCTCTAAACAAATAGTTTGAACAAGTATTGCTTAATGGTTGCCAAATGATAGAAAGGCCATCTAATTTTAGGCTCCAACTTTCCTCCGTTTCAATGTCTTGCCAACAAAATTTTGGACGCACCCACGCAGTTATCCGAGGTAAATTATCGAAAAAAACTTCAATATACACATCGATATATATCGAAATGGAAGTTTTTTCCTTGTTATCACTGTATTTTATATACATATATACACATACATAACAAAATGTTGAAAAAATATCTGTAAATCTTCAATAATTTCATTTTACTTTGCTAAAACAATTTCTTAAATTTACAAAATATTTAATTGCAAAGTAGAAAATAATAATATAGCATGTAACGTCACTCTTCTTGAATAGATATTACCTTCTTTAGGTACTACCTCGTAACAACTAAGTGATAAATATAATTAAAGAACCTTTTACAGTAATTAACAGAACATAATATAACAACTAACACGAATAATAATATAACAAGTTTCTACTTGTTAGTAATTACTAAACTTGAAATAATTTATAACAAATATAACGATCGAAATTTTAATCTTAAAGATAATAATCTGGAAAAAGAGACGTAATTGTCTTCCTGTATTGTATTACATAAATATGCGCAAATTCATATATTTAATTGCAATGCAAAAATTATTTTTGGATATTCATTCGAAAAAAATAATCGTTAGACAAATCACGCGATAGTTGCGTAATTTGCCTGACAATTGTACTACACAATTACAATGAAACACGTAATGTCATAAGAGAGGAAGATAGCGCGTTTTGCTGCTAATTGTCACGACGAATATTAATTTCCTACTTTTAAAAAAATGTATATTCTTCAAGTGTGATGTAAACGGAACTGTTTAGTCTGTTTGATCTGATCGCGATCGAAATTTATGTCGATATTTTCGTTAAATTATTATTAAATAATTCATAAAACAGATCTTGATCCAATTTATCAACTCGATCTCATCAATTTGTTATCATTGTTTTTTTTTCTTGCCATAACTCGCTTAATGAGACAGATGACCATTCTATTAGATAGACAATGAAAGGTAATACAAACTATAACTTGGAAATTATTTTATAGCTAATTGTATAAAGTAATAGATTAGATAAAGAACAATATAAAACTTTACAACGCCAAACTTTACTCTTCATACAAAAGTACACAAAATTTTAAAGTTCTTGATCAAGCCTATGAACATAAAAACTAAAATTTGTAATTCTTAAAAAAAAAATTTAAAGTATTGCAAATTTATACATGGGCTAATGGAATGTTGATGATGTCAATGATGTTATTTTTTCATCAAGAGCATTTAGTTCATTAATTTTCTGTGTCAAAAGTATTGCCTTCTTTACAGCCATTGCATTCTTTCAAAAAAAATTTTGCTAAATTCCTGACTTTTCCATGACTTCCCTGACCATTTTCAAATTTCTTGACTTTTCCCTGATTTCCCTGATTCTCCGACTTGTGGCAAGCCTGATTGATACTAACAAGTTTTTAAAAAGTGCAACAAAAAATTCAATCGATATGATAATATCGAAAGGAAATTTAAATATGCATACAGCTTATGCATAAAGATTGATTATACTTTTAACTAGATAGTTTTTCTCAATCTGCATAACTGTTAGATAGTTTTACATTAATCTGATTTGAATAAACATACCCAAACGCAGACAGGTTCCATTACCATACATTCCAAGAGTTCTTTAAGGTGAGTACCAAGACTTCTCGGATCAGTCGGATCGATGTCGCTTTCAGAATGGACTCCATCATCAACATGTGTATGATTTGTTCTCCAAGCAGGATCCTTGATTATTTGGGTGGCATAGTATATAGAACAGGAAAGTATGGTGACGCTTATGGCGGCATACACTCGAAGACTCGGGACTGGTAACCGTTCCAAAAATTCCATCGGCATGATTGGAAGAATTTTGGAATTTTCGCTTGTGTGTTGAAACACTTATTAAATCTGCAATCAAAATTTAGTCGCAGTTCGTAACTAAAGACTTATTTTTTTTGCGATCAAGTATCTATCATATTACAAGTATTCGTAGTAGATCCCTAATCTTTCAAATCTTATATAATCTAAAAAGAGAACAAAACAAAAAAATAGTAAAATCTACATTGGAAAAATAATATCGTTCTATTACTATTCGCGGAAAAGTGTAATAACAATCTCGACGAATACATGCATGACGTCTTCAGTAACACATATTTATACTTATACGAGATAATCGATGAGATTTTCGTAAGATCGTTTTTTATATTTTAATTTCGTATCGTTCAACATCGATGGATTGGTAAAATAGTATCAGACTAAAAAAATAAAATATATATACTTATAACGATGGTGATAAAACGAAAAGTTTCTCAAGAAACAAAAATGCAGGTACGTTTAGTACTCGGTTTAGTTTAAAATGTAAGTAAGGTATCTAATCTCGAGGTGAAACAACGAGGTAAAACGATGCGGCAGTCGTGACTCAACGCATATCTATCGCGCTGCATAGCTGCACGATATCGAATGCGACAAATCCACGTCGCGTTGATCGCTTCGGTTCTGCATCACTCTGCTCGCCACGTATATAATGCACGTCGCATATATAGGTACGCCGGCCGTGCGACGTTACACCGCGCTGCACCGTGATAACAGCAATTGTACGCGGTAGTGTTGTACGTGTATAATAGTACGACGAAGCACAATGTTCGGTCATTCGGTGCTCTACATTGCGATGCTTACTAAAGTAAGCGTCCTCCTCGTAACAAAACATGAGATTCAAAAGAAACGGATTCGAAAAACTTATTCAACCTATCTCTCTCTCTCTCTCTCTCTCTCTCTCTCTCTCTCAATTAATCCGCTGAATAATGATAATGTTTAGACAGAATTTAGATGGAGTTTTCACCGAAATAATACGGCACTGTACGATATTAGGTTGTAGTAGCTACGTAACGATGCGCAATACTTTAGTCGCGGTTAACTACTACTAATTTATACTACATCCTAGTTGGCAAGTTTGATATATCGGTTTGATATATATATATGTATATTTGCTGTATCTCTTAACGTTTAAAATCGTCTACCCGAGAAAATATCAAAATAAACAATCGCTATTCGTTACACATATATATATATATATACTGTATGTTATTTTTTTTAAATAACAAGTTACAGTTTTTTGTTAACGACTCAACAAAAAAAAAAATAACAAGTTACACAACAATGACATTAGCGCTTCATTTTTTAGTTTTTTTTTTAATAACATAATTTTGTAATTTCTGAAACCTGTAATGTATGCGAAGAACTGAAATATCACGTAGAAATATAAAATAATTCCTAAAATAATATGTTCAACAAAAAAATAAAAATAAAAATAATCAGCGTTTAGTAATAATTTAATATGATTGATTCTTGCTTCTAGTTCATCGCTACATTTAACAATAAGTGTAGGGATCAATCACATTAATATTAAAATTAATATGGGTAGTATGGCAATAAATTAAATAATAGGTGTAGAAAGGCTACGAGCCATACATTAAGTAATAAAATTTTTTAATATAAATTCAAAAAAACTCACAAAGAAACTCAAGCAGTAAAACATAAGTAGTAAACGAATTGACTAATTACAGTAGAGTCCGTAAGTCTTAACTGCCTTAAGTTTTTTATATGCCATAGTCCTCTAACGCAGCTTATTTATCATAATAAAAGAGAACTGCGTAGCAACGTTATGATAATAACGACGTTACAGAATAGGCCTGCAGGAATTATTTTAGACTTCTATGCGTATTCAATTTTATAATATACACACCAATTAAATTTGCAATCTTGAAACGCTATTTCGGCTGATATTTTTCGCAATAAATTTTTCACAGTACTTTGCTTATCAACGTAAATACGTCATTAAATTACTTGTAAATTTAATTTGTTATATTACTATTCTGGTTTTAATTAGGATTGCGTTTTTAAAACAGAAAATTTAATTTGCGTACAGTTTGGAGAATTTAATATATATATACAAATTCGTTCTAACATTATTATATACGAATGAAGATTAAGCTCGCACGGATTAAAATTTCACTTTTTAAAAACAATAAGTTATCTTAAATTTAATAATAAATAAACGAAATAAACTAATATTACAGAGGCGTATTGACACCTTAAGACATTAAAAGAGTTAAAATCAGAACATTATGATTAGATATTATCTAAAAACTGAATATTGAAATAATTATTTATTAAATTTATTCAACCGAACTAAAATTATGTCAGAAATACGTTAGATTCAAAATACAAAGGTAACGATAAAAGTTCGTTACTGTTACAGTTCGCTACTGTTACCAAAAAAGAATAGGAATGCAGTTACCAGAAGTTTAAAAAAAAAAACTTATAACTGTAACTTCGACATAAATAACGAGTTACTTCTATTCTCCGTATATAATTATATATATATATATATATATATATAATATAATATAATGATAAAAATATTATTTATTATCTACTTTCCGCAAAAGTCTGTTTCGATTTTAATAATGGTAACGTGATCCGAAGACTGGATCCACAACCTTGCTTTAAGAGGCCCTAAGTCGTAAAAAGCGGTAAGAAATTAACCAATCACAGTCGATTATTTTTCTCGCATTCAACTGTGATTGGTTAATTTCTTACGGCTTTTTACGACTTAGGGTCTACGCACAATAGGAGAAATATTTAGGAACAGATATTAAATATAAGAATTTTAACCTGTCAGAAAGCGCACATTCCACAGTACACAGTTCTGATATTCTAATATTTCTCCTATTGTGCGCAGACCCTTAGGGCCTCTTAAAGCAAGATTGTGGACCCAGTCTAAAAGCTGGCCGCGAATAGCAATAGTAGTAGTCGTAGTAAAAGTAATCGGCGAAAAACCTGCTGACAGTGTCGTAAATTTCAAACTTTCGAGTGGATTTCAACTTTGATCTTGATTGAATACGATTCTTGAAATACAACATACGAGAAATTGAAACACTATTATCTACTAGACACACATTAGTTTTTCATCAATGCTTTTTACTTGGTATTTGCACAAATCGCTATCGATCTCTCGTGTAGCAATGTTATTTTAGAATAATTCGAGGAGTAAAGAAAAGGAAGAATACAATGAAACGTCCCACATAGCACGTAATATCACAGTAATATCCCAGTCATATTGCGATATACCAGAAATATTATACATTACAATATAATAGCACCGAAATATTGATATATTACATTGATAACCAACATTGACATATCACAGTAATATTGTGGCAATAACATCTTAAACAGCAGATCGAAATTATAATTAATAACGTCTTATTGACATCACAAAGATGTCAGAGATGTTGAGATGTCGTTAAGACATTTATCAAGATATCACATAATTACACACACATAATGTTATAAATGATACTTAGTTTATTATAACTTCTTTGATTTATTATAATATTATATAACATTTATTGTATTGACAATCAATATTATTTTCCAATTAATATCGTAAGAAATAATTTTTTAAATGGCATTAAAAATATCAATTCAATAAATATTAAAAAAAAAAAATCTTTAAAACGATTTTTTTATTTAATTCTTCCTAATAAATGCTACATAAACATTATATAAATATCATAGAAATATTACATAATATTACGGTAATATTTTTGTGATATATCCCACAATCAGTAATAATATTTCCATCATGTTTCTGTTAGATTTTGTTGTAATATTACAATGGAAAAATGATGTTGCTGTAATTTTATTATTAGATATACTATGATATTACGTGCGCTATGTGAGGTACTATCCATCAAATACATATCGTAGGTACACGGTAATTTTTTACGACAAGGTCTAACGACTCTAACGATAAATGATTAAACGTGGCCGTTATCGCGTAATTAATCGCGAGTCTGAACGTTTAAAGACACACGACGAGGAAGTAGTAAAGTAGTTAGGTTGCGCTGCAAGGATCGAGTTACGAATCAAGCGCGTTAATTACAAAAGCGAAAGAGAAATAAATTTCTTTTGGAACGGAACATTCTCGCTTCTGGAGACTTCGAGTGAGTTTTAAAAGCGTGATGAATCCTCTGCTTACACCAACATTGATCGACGGGTCGCATCACGCCGGTCGCGCGAATCACGGATAGAAAGCGGCCTTTCACGAAGTCGGCAAAAGGGTTAAGGCGCCACAAATGCCAACAAATGCTACGACTGTCACTTGCAATACTAGCGATAATTTGATAGCGCCACCCATCTCTCTCTCTCTCTCTCTCTCTTTTCTGCCATTTGATTCTATCGAATCTATTCGTTCCAGCCACATTTCTTCCCAGCTAAGTGCTTCTATACTTGGAGCTTGGCGAAATAGGTGTATGGATAGTGGATATGCGCGGTACATTCAACGTAACTCTCGTCACGTGTAATATCTTTAGTGTAATATCTCCCGCGTATTTTTTTACATCGCAAGTAAACAACGTGCGCCTTTTTGTTAACATCAAGATAAACTGCCATCTGTAAGTAATTTAAATAAAAAGATGTCTTTATCTATTCATAATTTGCAACGAGACGTCCGGTCTCGGGACACGTCACGAGCATTTCAACGCGATGCTCGCCGAGACGAGACAGAAAATCAATGTAACTTTATCATCGCGGCCGTAATCGGCTTACAAGTAAAAAGAAATAAGGACGGAGAGAGCTGCCAGGAGTAGCCAAGAATACAAGGTGCTGAGCGGGAGCGGCAGCGAGTGATGAGAATTATTACTCTTCGTGGCTACTCTCTCGTACTTCTTCAATGATAATTCTACAACGTGCTCTTTGTTTCCTGTTTCTTGCTGTTTTGTCTCTCGCCGACTCTTGCCCCTTTTCGGCCAAAAGGCAAGAGAACAAACGGCAAGAAACAGAAAACAAAGAGCACATTGTAGAATTAGCAGAAGCGTGCGCGGCATAACCAGTCGCGCCGATTGATGCTGATCATGGCACTCTCGTGCAGTGTACTCACTCATGCCAAAAAAAATACTTATGTTTAAAACGTCAAGATCTGACGGTACGTTGCGAGAATGAAGAAGAGGACCACGCGGTTGCCGCGTCGCGAGAGCAAAAGATGCACCACGATGCACCGGAGCCGGGCCGGGGATAGGTGGGAAAAAGAGAAGAGAAAGAGAACAAGCGCGTCTATCGGCGACGCATGACGTACTTACGCACGAGCAAATGTCCGTTCCGAACGTTTCCCGAGGCTCGCCTAGTGCGTCTCGAGGAGTATGTCTACATCATAATCGTGCTGCGAAATCTCGATGGAAGACCTCCAAGTCTGACGCAATACGGACGCGCTGCAGCATCGATTAGTACGGACGACGAAACGAGCGACACACACACTCTCTCTCTCTCTCTCTCTTTCTCTCTTTCTCTCACAAAGTCGCAAGCACACCCGCGACTGATCCTCCGTGATACACGCAACGGTATGACATATTACGATCCGGCGGCACCACCGAACCGATCGCGATCGACTCTGCTTGCGAGCGTGACGTTAATAAACACCGACCAGTGCTAACTAACACTTGCCAGTTATACTAATAACATTCGCTAGCCACTCGCCAGCACTACCTGGGACCACCTGGGACTACGCAGGTCAGAATGACTCCGGAGTGGCTCCGGCTCCGGGGACAGCTCGACAGTCGACACACCCGACACCGTACGCTCTCGGAAACTGCACGAAAGAGACCGAAACTCCTTCGGTAACGTCACTGATGTCACACGTACACGGTTCTCGCGTTGCTGTGGTATGATTTCATCGACAGGGTCAGAAAATGGACGTAGCCATGTAGTTCCCAAACCGAAAACGGATGTGCTAGCGGTAGTGTACTGCCAGAGAGAAACCCTCTGCATAACATAACGTTCGCACAAAAGTGCATAAAAGTGCACACTAGTTCAATCACAGAAAACAAATAACCTCGTAATGCGAGTTCCCACATCCTTTAATGTTCTGCTTCATCGAGTTTATTGATATTTAGCAGTATTTATTTGACTGCCATCTAACTGGTATCCTATCATTGTGATTTTATTTTCGACATTACAATTATTATGTTGTAATTCTTTTTTCACGTCCATATAACACAGTAACGCACCGAGGATGCGATAAAAGTTGTTTTCTTGGAATCGAGGTGGCAACGGGAGTGCACAAATATATCAACTTCGAAGGAATATCGACGATCTTGCATCGCTTTTCGTAATGTCGCAACAAAGTGCCATTGTCCAGACTGCCCAGGGCGTCCAAACCGTTCAGAACGCTCAGAGCGTTCAGACCGCCCAGGGTGTTCAGACAACGACGGCGACTACGACGGGCTCGGAAATGACGCCGGTGCTTGGATCTCTACCGTCCGTGGGACCTAATAATCAAACGTCATCTGTTCTGTCTAATGTGCAGAGCAGCACTACAACAACTGTACAGTCACAAACGCAATCTCAACAGACTCAATTCGTTCCCCAACCTCCGAAACCGGTGCAGCAGTCATCCACTTCAAGTTCTTTTAGCGATTTTCCACAGGTATGTAATCAGTGAGAAAATAAATCTTGAGTAGAGTTACTCAAGCGATCTACCGTATATGATAGGCTTAAAGTACCTTTTTCATTACAAATATAACATTGTACCAAGTCTATATACAAGTTCTTTGTTCTACAATCTACATGATGTAATTCGCCATCTCTCTTCTTTTATCACAAGTATTCTTTGATCAAATTTTTCTCCATTGACATAACATAGGTACTACCTACTCCTTTATTTTAGTTTTTAACAAAAACAAGGTTACAAGATTTGGTGAGAGAAGTAGATCCCACTGAACAATTGGATGAAGAGGTAGAAGAGATGCTTTTACAATTAGCAGATGACTTTGTGGAAACAACGGTAAATGCAGCTTGTCTATTAGCTAAACACCGTCATGCAAACACAGTGGAAGTTAAAGATGTACAGTTACATTTAGGTGAGTTATGCTGATAGCTATAATTTTTCTCATTTATATTAGAAAAAGATTAATCTATTAAAAATAAATTTTTTCTATATATAAGTTATAGCAGAAGACTTGTTATTTTATCTACTCTGAAAAACTTTTAAAATATTAAACTTGATCCAAATTTAAAGTTAAGAAGTGGAGAATGTTGCTTGTGTATATATTTTATATATTAGACCAAGCAAATTTCCAGTATTATAAAGCTTTGCAAATGCAACTTGAAAAAGTTTTGTTTATGTGATAAATTATGCAAAAAAAATATAAACGTGTATGCTATTTATGGTATTTTAATTTTTAGGAAGAAATTGGAATATGTGGATTCCTGGTTTTGGTACAGATGAAGTACGTCCATATAAGCGATCTACCATCACCGAAGCACATAAACAAAGATTGGCGCTCATACGAAAGTCTATCAAGAAATATTAATTCTTTTGTGAATTAGTCAGTTTTGAAAATTAAAAACTTGTATTATATAATGTCTTGTAACAAAAATCTTCATCTTGTATATAACTTTTTCTTTTCACACATACACCAATTATCTCTTGTTTTTAAATATAATTTTACTATAATATAGATACTATAATATAGATTATTTTACTATAATAAAAATAGATTAGGTGTAAAAACTATAAATTTCTTCAAATTTATGCTATAAATATTTCTGTATGTATAAACGACTACCACAAAATGTTTTCAATACATGTAAATAACTAACGATTCTATTTTTTTTAATGTACATATATATGTGAAGAAAATTACATGACAATATTCAAAACTGAAAAATCAACTCTGGGTTATCAACTTTTTCTGCACTGTTTCTCTTTTGAAATTGAATAACGTCTAGCGTGTTACTTTTTTATATATTCATATGTGACGAAGTATTTGTTTTGCTAGTACAACCCTTAGGAGGACAAAAAAAAATTGAAATATACGTTTTTTGCATAATACTATTAAAAATGCAGAGAATATATTGTAAATTATATAGAAACCGTCTTATACAGATGTTACACGAATAAGGCGAAAACAGCGATCATTCACTCGCAATATATAAACATCATACAAATATATTATAAAGAAAACATTTGCAAGCAGATTTCACATGTAGCACGTATTAAAAATATATAATCTGTGTTCACACATACGCCTATATACCATTATATATATGCGTTATAATTCAAACAGTACTGAATATATTTTCAGATCGCAATGATTTTTTAAATTTTCCATTATAATAGATATATCGTCTATAATATATTCATCAATTCTCAAAATGTTTCTCGAAATGTTTCATTATCTATACACGAAAAGTTCCGAGAAAAATACGCTTAGAAGTTGAGACCATATCTTCTGATTCTCGATTTATAAATATTGTGAAACAGTTAATAAAAATTCGAACATTTTTGCAAGGGCAGCTACTGCTAATCGCACTTAAAACGATCCATCAGAACAATCCTATATCTTTTTTGAGATTCACTTGTTTCCAAACTGGAAGCTGTTGAAATTCTTCCTTGCTCATTCCAAGCAACTCCTATAAATCACAACATATCACATATATATACATATATGTATGTTACGGGCAATATAATTAGTTCGGAATTTATGCAGTTTAGCCGGCGCGTGAGCGCGCGTGTATGTGTTAAAAACATTCTGTCCGACATCTAATCTATATATTCGTAGATTATTCGTCGATTATATTTAACTGTTATTAATCAATTGTAATACTAACTTGAAAATGTTGTTGAGATAAATACAATTCTAGGCATGTTGGATCGACTCCGTCAGGTAAAGGTCTTTGTAACAGCTGAGCAGGAGGATATGTACTTTGTGTTAGACGAGCTAATTCATTTTCCGCAGTCAATACTTCTCCTGAATTTCGACCATCCTAGTAATATATTTAATAAATACACATTATATTGTATACATATTGAAATTTTATTGAAATTGATGAAAATCATTCATAATCAAGATGCATCAAACAGAATTCTTATATTTATTTAAAATATAAGTAAAGGGGGAGGACAATTATTATTTTTAAATTAGATCTTTTTTTTTCTATTAATAATATATTACATATAAAAAGTATAAGATTTAAACAGTAAAGAAAATAAGATGTCTTTTTCAAATGTACCTCTATATTTAATTCAGCGACGTCATCCCGATATGTCCATTCCGGAAAAAGATTTGTAAATTGCAACGGTTCTAAACCAGCCCATATTAAATATATTGGAAGATTCGTTGTTTGTGCGTTTCGAGTCTCTTGCCAATATCGTATTGCTATCTTCATGGCTGCTCTTCTCTCAGCCTGCCATCGGACAGTTTTACTTCCAGATTGATCTTCCGTTCCACTATCAGGCCACCATCCTTGCCAAATCCAAATCACATTCTTGTCATCCAATAAAAATAAAGCTAAAAGTTATACAAAGGTCAATTAAAGTGCTTACCATATAATACGTATACATAATTTTTCTAAAACTTCTCATAAAAAGTTTTCTCAAGAAAAACCGATTAAAATAACGATTAAATAAAAATATAATGCACTTCTCAAAAGCATTGTTACCTGGTTGATTTGCTTGATACAAATCATCTTGTGAAAAAGGGAACGGTGTTGTCAGGTCTGCACGATATGGGCAAAGTATTTCTGTTGCGCGAAATTTTTTAGAAACACTAGTTAAATGATAAAGCTTTGGGGTATGATCTTGTATTTCAGCTGTTTCTAATGACCAATACAATTTTTTATTTATGCCACCTAATGCTAAAAATGCAAAGTACAATCTCAACTTTTTTGTGATAATACACAATAGAATAAATTTAAGAGAATATGTATACATCTTATATTCAGCTTAAATATTAACATTTTATTAAGCTTTACTCACCATTACTAAATTCCTCAGGTTCCGTACCTTCTTGAACTTCACACATTTCTATATTATTTTTATTCGATAATCCAACTTCTGCAGGTCGATTTTCTTTCAATTTATTTGCAGCTTTTATCGCATTCTATAAAAAAAAAATAGAAGAAACAATGAGTTAAAGAAACAAACGAAATAAAGAAATACAGAGATGATAAAAAGAGATAAATAGAAAATAGATAAATAAGGAAAGAAAACAATTAAGATGAAAAAAGAAATAAGAAAAAAATTACAAGAAAATTATGATTACTCCATTAAGCAATAGATGAGAATAACATATTTTGAAATAATTTTATATTAAAATGTTTTTTAGATTGCTCGATTAATCGATTCATTTGGGTTTCAGAATGCAGCTTGCTCACCGAGTGATTGATTCTTATTTATGGATCTAACCATTTACGTTCAACCGCTCTCGGAACGAGCAAGACTGAGTTCCGAAATCCAAAAGTGTTGCAACTTTTCCGTGACCGACTATACATATTTATTGGCTGTACAAATTAAATTATATGTAATACGTATATTTAATTATATATATATTATACAAATTTGTAGGAAATATACTTCTCTAATATGAGGCAACGAATTGCTTCCATGCCAGATATATAGTTTTGCACTTTCGGTATTTAGTAATATGAAGGAACTTCTACTTCTTAATTGTCGAGTACTACAAGGGATTTCAATCAGAAATGTCTCATTCTCTAAAGTTCCTCGGCAAATATACAACCTCCATCGTTTCTCACTTTTTTTCTCAGATTTCTTGCCACTGTGCACCACCATCCTTCCAGAGAATAAATTTAAAAACACAGCTGGTTCGTGTCCTTGAACAACATGAACCTGCAAATATATATATATATATATATGTAATAAAATATATTTCTTGGTATTTTGTCCAATATTTTACTTTTAGTGGACACACATTAAGTAGGAAATTTTTTCCAATTAGACAATTTTAGAAAAAAAATTGTTTAACTGGAATAAAATTACTATTAACAAATAACATTATATAATAATATAGCCAATATTCGCGGATATAATAATTAAATACACTAAGATAAATTCGAAACATAAAGAAAATAACTATATCAGCAAATTTGATTATACATTACTGTCCTCACCTGAGGACCTCGATTGCTGTCTAATTCGATGGTTAATAATGCCGCGGCCCCTCGTTCATTCAAAGATGCATTTCGACCTTGCCAAATAAAGTATACAGATCTATCGCGACCTTTTGCCGAGTGTTTAGATGGTAAACCACTGAGTTCTCTACCTAAAAGCATAATAAATAAATTTGTAAAAACAATTACATAGTTAAAAAGTTATTCATAAATTATCTTAAATTCATATTCTTAAAAAATAAAGATCACGTAACAATTATACAAAACTAATGCCTAAAAATATTACATTTATTTTTCAAAAATTCAAAAATGTACAATTATAAAAGTTTTTGAGAGAAATTTTTATTTCACGAAAATTGGTCAATAAACAGCTTACCAGTAATTGTGACGGAATACGTCCACTGAATAATATAACTATCACCAGAATAAAATTGACCAACAGATGATCCATCTAAAAGAGTATGTGAGAATTCATCGATATGCCACACCATAATGCTCGTTGTTGTAACGACATATTCTTTCTTCAACTAAAATCAAATCGAGCAAAATTATCGATTAGATATGTCTGTCGCGGACACTTATTGTAAAAGAGTTATTTTCTTCTGGATGAAAATTAATTAAAAACAATAGTTGTAATTTGATAAATATAATTATTTTGAAATTAATATATCTCGTTTTTATTAATATATTAAACAAATACTTTTTGCTAAAAAAGAAATTACTTCATTGTCATAACAACCAATGCCTCTGCCCAAGTGACAGCCTTCTAGAATAAAATCGACTGGAGAAGAATTTGGTAGCCACATATCGTCGTTTTCATCCGGATGTACAGTTATAGCACTGTCGATTTGTCGCGCATTATTATTTCGGCCTCGCGTCTTTACCACACCGGTGACATTAGGCCAGTCGAGGAATTTCTCACGGAATAATATCGTTTCGACGTGTTGCGTCAATTTAGCAAGTAAACACCATTCAGGTCTGCTTTTGGCGAATTTTGCGGACGGACTCGTACAAAAGTCACTATTCCGATTACCAATCATACGGGTAGCGTTAATAGGACAAACGGTACACTCGCTATAATCATATCCATTGTTCCACATTTCTGTAGCCAACTGTGTAGCGAGTTTCTTCTTGTCCGTCGAAATTCCTTTGCCACTCCAAATATACATCTCGGTGCCAAAATCGAACACTAGAATCTTTAAAGAGAAATTATCATCAATGTCAAATTACGTATTATTCGTATTATATACGTCGAATATATTTTTAGGATTAGAAATCCACTAAACATTACCTTGTTCTTATTGAGCATTTCTATCTTTGGCAGCGTACCCCAGAATTTTTCATACAACACTAATTGTTCATCTTTCAATTCATATACCATATTTGTATCGATAATGGCAGATTCATACAATTCATCTTCGTCAGGATGACCAGCTTCGATAACTGTAACAATATTATTTTATGATACATCATTTATATATGTACAAAGAGAATGTCGCATGGAA